CATAGATTTTGAAAAGCGAACATTAATCTATTAAATTTATGCTAAAGCAAAAAGAGGGAGCATTTATCTTGTAAAGAAAAGCAAATATTCTACATAATGCCTTATTCGGTGTCAGAATTTTGCAGAGACTAGGACGGCTAGGATTTTACAGAAACTAGGACGGCTTCTATTTTTTTTCATAAACGAAGTTTACGTTTCTTTTAGTTGCTTCATTCTAAAGCCTGCATTATTTACTGCTGTGATCTACCTAGCATAAAATTCATTTCTGCATTTTCGATATTTTGGTTAAAATATTTATTGTGTCCAACTCTTTTTCAATTCACTTTTAGTATTTATTTTCAAAATGATTTCGATGCCAGTTATACATGGTCTTGTTTTTCCATTCGATTTTCAGCGATGTTATCAATACCAAATGTTGAGGTGGAACCGATTGAAGATGTTTTCTTCGTAGAACCACCACTGGAACGGATTGGTGATGCTATCGATCTCGTCCAACGGTAACTTATAATGCATATTTTTGAAGTGCTTGCTTTAGAGTCTCTGTGTTCTGAGCTGATACTAGTTTATAACGAAAATTTTATAGATTCAATGAAGAGGCTCGCCCATGGTCTCAGAAGCGACGAAGCCGTCGTGGGGAACCATTGCGGCAGAATGATTCAAGGCCGGTGAATAATTCAAGTGCACGAATATCCAACGGTAACTCCTTTGAAGGTTGATATGTCACGTGCTTGATTAAGCTTATTAACGGATAGGAATGTTTACTAATATGTAGTTGCTTTCAGATGTTTCCTCAGCTGCAACGAATACTACTACTCATGAAGGTAATCAACTGAACGGACAGCCATCGCCAACAGAAACAAGGTTGTTTTTTTAATATCTATCAAAACTTACTTTCAGCGACACACATTAACGTTTATTTGGTACATATTTTAACGAAAAGTAACTTCGACACAACATAGTGGTTAGACTGATAAATCCTTCTGTTTACTAAAGGAAAATGTCTAATGTCGGAATTTTTTGTAATGCTGCTTGCTATTAAGCAGTAGACTCGCTTACACCTAATAAATCCATCTGTTGAACTTCCCCGACTTCAATTTTTAGGAAAATATTTAATAGAACATACATTTGATGACGGGTCATTACAAAGTAGATTAATCACCCAGTTGATATTTTATTATAACTTACTTTCGTTTTTTTTTCTCTGCAAATTTGTATGGTACCACAAATTTCTGTTAAGTCACATCTACTAAATCTTATCTATTAAATCTCTTCCATGGAATACTCTGATTCGCATAACTTTTTACTAACAGCATGACACCGTTTTCAGGTCAAATGAGGGCTATTGCGGTTTCGAGCGAGAAATGCCACCCTCATTAACATCTTCCACAGCATCTTCTTGGGCAGAGCGTAAAAGTGCTCCTATTAGTTAGCTATGTTCTGTTGATCTGTGCATAATAATTTCGCATTTTGTATTTTGAGAAATTTTCTTATCAAAATTTGATTTGTTGTGTAAGTTTTTAAATATGAATTCACTGTTGCGTTTTTTCCTTTTGGATTGCATATCAGTTTACTGTATTCATAGATGCAAGCCACTAGGGTTTCTTTTTGTGTATGTGTGGGTGCCTGTTCATATTTGGGGAAGTTTTAGTTGGAAGTCCCTTTTAATTTCTTCACACTTTAATCCTTCATTTCACACCTACAATCTATAAAAATTAACACAGCAGATCCATTGAAAGATCGTTTTGCGAAAGTTTTTGTTCATTATTAACGAATTTTTTTTGCTCGCTTGTTATATAACTTTCTTTATATAGTCACATGTTTTCAATAAGAAACCGATGTGATGGTCATTCTTACGGGAAGTGTTACTGCTTGCAGAAAAATTAATACCTTGCGGCTTGCATTTAGAAGGGATAAAACATGTTCAAAAATCCAGCATACTATGCAAGTCGGCCTCATAAAAGGGAAACAGAAGAGCTGGCCACTCGTCATTCTTCTATCTATCTGAAAAGAAGTTTGGAAAAATCTCGCGATCACACTGCATGATGATTGAAGCAGGATATTTATGTTTCTTAAAACTGGCAATTTGCGCAATTTCGAAAGGTTGGTCGGAAATAAATTTTTAAGAACTGTAAGTGAGACTTTGTCACTTTGACGAGTCTCGGAGATCATTC